ATTTTTTTACTTTCATCATTTCCTTAAAAAATTGGCAAAAAATGACAACTTCAAAAAACTCCCCATGCCTCTCATTAAATACCTCAGACTGTCTACTTTCCAAAAAGGGGTCGTTTGAGGGGTATATTGTACTGTCCTGGCATTTTAGGGCCCCAAGAAATTATATAGGTAGTCCGTGCATCAGGATTGATACATTTTCAAATATATCAAATATATATACCGTGGTCTGTGGACTCTATAACTTTCACAAAGACTAAATAATACACACTGATTTGGGTTATGTCTACCAACAAAATGTAGCACAATGGATTTTGGCCTAAATTTATGAAGAAAAGTATATTTATTTGCAAAATTTAGTATCAAATACTAAGAAAAACATGTTTTTTTTTCAAAATTTTCAGTCTTTTTTAATTTTTCTAGCAAAAAATAAAAACCCCAGTGATGATTAAATACCATTAAATTAAAGCTCTATTTGTTTGAAAAAAATAATTTCATTTAGATACAGTGTTGTATGCCTGAGTAATTGTCATTCACAATGTGAGAGCGCCGAAAGCTGAAAATTGGCCTGGACAGGAAGGGGGTAAAAGTGTCCGGACAGGAAGTGGTTAAAAAATGGGGACTAAAAAAAAAAAACTCACCTTTCCCTATACCACAAGCCTAAAAAAGTCTTTGTGTAAAGCTGCATCCAGTTTCAGGTGCACAAGTGTTCCTCTTGTGCACAGAAGTCTACTTGCGTATCCAAAACCAAAGACCACAAGCACAACTAGACAACCCATACTGTCTTCCACATTTGCTGTCAACCCTTTCAGTGCATGAAATGATGCCCCTATACCTACCAATGACAAGGTGGGGGATGATGCAAGGGTTTTTTGTTTTTTAATAAATATTTTCCCCACACTTTGAAATTAAAATTACACTTTGCTACAATGTAAAGTAGTGAGTGTACAGCTTGTACAACAGTGTAAATTTGCTGTCCCCTCAAAATAACTCAACACACAACCATTAATGTCTATACCACTGGCAACAAAGGTGAGCACACCCCTAAGTGCAAATGTCCAAATTGGGCCCAATTAGTCATTTTCCCTACCCGGTGTCATGTGACTCGTTAGTGTTACAAGGTCTCAGGTGTGCTTGAGGTGATTGTAGCCGTATTAGTGCATTTGCGACAGAAATAATTGAGTACTGTCCATGATACTTTTTTTATTTGCACTAACATACAATTTTGAGGACAAGCCTTCGGGGAGTGATCCCTTCTTCAAGGTCCAAGCAGTACTATACAAATCTCCTAAGGTCTCAGGTGTGAATGAGGAGCAGGTGTGTTAAATTTGGTGTTATAGCTCTCACTCTCTCATACTGGATACTGGAAGTTCAACATGGCACCTCATGGTAAAAAAACTCTCTGAAGATTTGAAGAAAAAAAAAAAAAGAATTGTCGCTCTACATAAAGATGGCCTAGGCTATAAGAAGATTGCCAAAACCCTGAAACTGAGCCGCAGCACGGTGGCCAAGACCATACAGCGGTTTAACAGGACAGGTTCCACTCAGAACAGACCTCACCATGGCCGACCAAAGAAGTTCAGCGTCATATCTAGAGGTTGTCTTTGGGAAATAGACGTATGAGTGCTTCCAGCATTGCTGCAGAGGTTGAAGGGGGATGGGTGGGGGGTCAGCCTGTCAGTGCTCAGACCATACGCCGCACACTGCATCAAATTGGTCTGCATGGCTGTCATCCCAGAAGGAAGCCTCTTCTAAAGATGATGCACCAGAAAGCCCGGAAACAGTTTGCTGAAGACAAGCAGACTAAGGACATGGATTACTGGAACCATGTCCTGTGGTCTGATGAGACCAAGATAAACTTATTTGGTTCAGATGGTGTCAAGCATATGGGGCGGCAACCAGGTGAGGAGTACAAAGACAAGTTTGTCTTGCCTACAAAAACAAATAAACAGCGCACATCAACACCTCAAACAATGCCTTAAATATAGTGTAAAAATCGCTCATAACTCATCACTCATATAACATATCATTTACTAATAACATAAGTAAAGAAGCAATAGATTTTCTTGATCTTACACTTTATAAAAAAAGGTGACAAATTCTGTACCAAAACGCACTTCAAAAAAGTGGACCGGAATGGGTACATTCCGAGTCACAGCTGTCACCATAGAAATTGGCTAATGTCTATTCCTAAAAGCCAGCTCATTAGATTAAAAACGCAATTGTGATGATGAAAATATATTCCTAGGTCAGTCGGATATGTTATTACAAAGATTTAGAGAAAAGGGATATGGAGAGGAAGTTCTAGCCCGCTCATTAGAACAGGTTAAAAACATCAAAAGAGATGACTTGCTGAAGAAAAAGGAGAGAAACAGAAAGATAGGGGATCTGGCCTTTATTCCGGTTATTCGAGCCAATATAAATTGATTGAGAGAATTATTAAGAAATACTGGCCAATCTTGAAAAGGGATGAAGTCCTTAGTAAATTGTTATCTGGAAAACCCATGTTCATTTATAGGAAACCACCAACATTAAGAACTATATTAGTGACAAATGTCCCTGATGCACCAAGGAAGGTGGTGACTTTCCTTGATAGGGTTGGTTTCTTTAAGTGTAGGAGGTGTATAGCGTGTAAAAATCTTAAAGATGATAATAAAAGACATTATGATATAGTTTCCAATCATGAGGGGGTGATATGGTTAAAAGTATTTCTCAAAATGAAACAAAATGGATCTACCAGATGGGGACATTGATCCCTAAAGGGTAAACACAGAGATTTACATTAATTGTTATTTATCTAACTGGTAGCTTTATGCGAGTGAAATTTAATTGTTATGGGTGGGTATATATAAGGAGGGAACAATATTTATTTATACTTATTTTGATTTTGATTTAATTTTACATTTTTATTTTTTATTTTATTTTATTTTTTTCTTTATTTTATTTTGATTTTTTTTATCATCTCTTAAATTTTGCTTATTTTTTGTTTTTGTATGTTTTTGTTTTTTTTTTATGTTTTTATTTTTTGTGGTATTTGTTTCCTCAAGATGTATATATACACATCATACTATAATGTATATTATATATTTAAATTTTATTTTGATTTTCCTCTTTTTGTTGATATACATGTAATCATTTTTTGTGATATGTTTTTAAGCTCATTTGTATGTCTCAGGTCTCCTTATGAGTTTGGGCATGGTTGGTTCAAGTTTATAATAACGTTTTGTGGGGGTGAACTAACGAGTAGATAGAGATCTGAGCTATTCAATTTGATATCTCTGTGAAGGAATCTCACGGGGTATGAGCAAGGGATGACAGCTAGTAGTTTACATATTTGTCTTTATTGACCTGTGGGAGAGAAGGGGAGGGACCTTGTATTGCTATTTAAGCGGTGTGTGTCTTGAGAATGCCCTGGGGGTGAGGCGAAATGCATCAACGCACTCCGGTCTGCCGTCGTGACATCCTGCGTCACTTCCGGTGAGTGGAACGCATGCTGAGCGGTGCATTCCAAGCGGCCATCTTTGGAGCTGTATCCTGTCATCCCTTGCTACAACCAGGCTGTGAGGTCACTGGTATGAGATGTGGAAGCAGTGGAACTCATATAGGCCTATGGAGGCAATAAAATAGATGTTTTTATTCATCTTAACAATTGTGAGTGGTCTGGCAATTTTTACCAATATTGCATTTTTTACTAGCAGTATTACACTATTATATATTTTTTCCCTTGCACTGCTGTGGAGTTTGGAGAGAGGAGAAGGCAGGAGCGAGTGGAAGAAAATACCTTATATCCTATATGGTGGGAAGGAGCCATGAAAGCTTTTAAAGGGGGTCTAGGAGCCCATAACATCCTAAAAGGCGCAATACTCACCATTATCTGGTGAGTGCAGTTGATGTTGGTTTTTCACTGGTGATTGGTGGAAGCATCATTTCATTTGGATATTTGTTTTTTCACAATTTATTGGGGAGAAAGGACTTTTTCTTTTATTTGGACACTATAATATAAATATTTTTTAAAAAAGATATTTTCTTTTGAAAGGTCACTTTAATTAATTTGAAAATCTCATATGTTTATTGATTTTTACACCTTATTTAAGGCATTGTTTGAGGTGTTGATTTGCGCTGTTTATTTGTTTTTTTATGTTTTGGTGTTAACTGTGCGCAGCTACTACCTGGGTGAAAATTTTTGGAGTTGTTCCTGTGCGCTGGGGGTTGCTGTATATTTGTCTTGCCTACAGTCTGATATGGTGGTGGGAGTGTCATGGTCTGGGGCTGCATGAGTGCTGCCAGCACTGGGGAGCTACAGTTCATTGAGGGAACCATGAATGCCAACATGTACTGTGACATACTAAAGCAGAGCATGATCCTCTCCCTTTTCGGAGACTGGGCTGCAGGGCAGTATTCCAACATAACGACCAGAAACACACCTCCAAGATGACCACTGCTTTGCTAAAGAAGCTGAGGGTAAAGGTGATGGACTGGCCAAGCATGTCTCCAGACCTAAACCCTATTGAGCATCTGTGGGGCATCCTCAAACAAAAGGTGGAGAAGCGCAAGGTCTCCAACATCCACCAGCTCAGTGATGTCGTCATGGAGGAGTGGAAGACGACTCCAGTGGCAACCTGTGAAGCTGGAAAATAATTGTGGCCACACAAAATATTGACACTTTAGTCACAATTTGGACATTTTCACTTAGGGGTGTACTCACTTTTGTTGCCAGCGGTTTAGACATTAATGGCTGTGTGTTGCTATTTTGAGGAGACCGCAAATTTACACTGTTATACAAGCTCTACTCTCACTACTTTACATTGTAGCAAAGTGTTATTTCTTCAGTGTTATCACATGAAAAAAAATAAAATGGGGGGCGTGTCCAAGATGACAGCAGGAGCGGACACATAGAGCTCCGCCGCCTTCTAAAATAATCATTGTCCATCCTGCACACAGCGGGGTCCCACTGACTTTGGGGACCCCTGTGGAGGTTGGTCGTTGTCTGCCGAGGCGACCCAGGTCTGATTGACCCCCACCCGTGGTCCCGGTGGATTATGGCCGACTTGAGGCCTGGACCCGGCCAGCGCTGCACCAGAGCCCGGAAACCGGCATTTTGTGTCCCTCCGACATCGGGGGATACCCGTGGACCAGGGCTATAACCCGGGGGGAGAGATCCGGGCCGGCTTATCCCCCACTCACCGATCGCGGCCTACACGAGGCCTGGAGCGGCCTACACGAGGCCAGGACCTGCCTCACTCTGCACCCAGAAACAGAGACACGGATGGATGAGCTGTTGAAGGGGGACTGTGACAACTTCAGCTACCACTGTATCCTGTGCAGGAACCCAGATCCCTATTGGGTCCTGTGCTCAAAGGAGTCCACGTACTTTCCCTGGATATAAAGAGGACAGACCCGGGAGCTCTGTGGGGCGACCTGCACCTATCCTCCCCCCACCCCTATCTTTAGCTATGATAATCTCTTCTACAATTTAAAGCCTATGGCGAGAAACATGGACTGCCCTGTAGAGATTATCCCTATGTAAAAGTTCCCTCGTCGGGGGACGCACGCGTGAGGGCAGAGTTGATGGCCATTTGATCCCCCTGTCCCATGCCACTGGAACATTTACCTCGGCATATCAGGTTTCATTCCCCACGCACTGGTACAAAAAATCACAGGTACCTGTGGAAATACCTGGTCTAAGCCCGACGATGCATCATACTCCATGCAATAAGCCTAAACACCGGGCACACCAAAAAGACTCTCCTCCCCAGCAGTCCGACAAGATGGCGCCCAGTCCCCCTGAGCACAATGACACCACACGGCTTACAGGAGATCCGGACTCGGGTGAGGACAGTCAGCACCAGTTCCACTCTGTCTTAACCAGTTCTTTGGAGCACAATCCTGAATCTTTATTACACAAATTCCACGCTATTGTGCAGGAAGAGATTACAACTGCCTCTCGCAAGCGGTCATCCGATCTGGTAAAAGGTCTAAAGGAATTGGGCCATCGTGCTCATCAATTAGAACTGTGTATGGATCTGACGACTACAGTCTTGGGAGGGTCATGAGCAGGAAGTGGAGGATTTACACGCAGAGGTGGACACCCTAAAAGATAAATTGGAAGATATGGAGAACAGGGCCCGTAGAGATAACCTTCGTATTCGTGGCGTGCCTGAGGTGGCAACTGATCTACAGGGTACTGCTACTGCCCTCTTTCAGGAACTGGCTCCTGAGATCCCTCTGGAACATTTGGAATTTGATCGTATTCACAGAGCTCTAGCCCCCAAACCCATGGAGGGCCCCCCAAGGGACATTAATATTAAGTTCCACTATTACCGCACTAAAGATAATTTTTAATAACATGCGTTTTTGATAGCAGGGTCCTCTCCAGGTAAGTATAGGTGTAATACAGCCAACTCACATTAAAAGACATAAAGATGATCTTCCATAGTGTAAAACCTTTTTTAAGCTGTTATAAATCCTAGTAAGTCCAAAAATTCCCACTCACATTTACACAGTAATGCATAGGCATTTAAACCACATGCTATGGCTAAACTTGCATGGGTTTGGGTGTAGCAAGATGGCGTCCCTGCCGGAAATACGTTACCACGTTCCTACCCGTTACGTCCCGTTATCACGTGACTTCCTCAGGGATGTCACGTTTGCATGTTATTGAAGGGGATAGCATCGTTTTGAGTGGATATCATCCGCAGAGGAGTTTCTTGGCACGGAGGATCTTTTTAAGATCCCACGGGCGTTTTGGCCCGTTT